TAATAGCATGTTAGGTAAGTTCAATCATGATTATAAGGTATCAGACTCTATTATACTTGTGATGATATGAGCAGAGCATGTGCCAAGAAGAAAGATCTGTTATACTAGAGCAATTACAGAGTGTGGTTAAATCGAGCAGTAAATGAGTGCTGATAAATTCCATGGTATAAATAGAATCATTTCCATTTATTCAATCCTCACCAGGTGTTTACAATATACATTTTTAAAGCATAACTTAAGAATAATATGATGATTATTGATTAGTGATATGCAGATAATTTTAAAAAATTAGTGTACTTTACATAATGTTACTGGCAAATTTCAAAAAAACTATTCAGTGTGGAATCAGTTTAACCTATCATTGTCGGTTTGGTATTTATAGTGATATGTTACCTTAATGTAAGACTACCTTGTTTGTACGGGTGGGAAGCAAACTCTTGTGCTTCCACAAGAATGAATGGGATTATCTAGGAAGTCTTTCCATTACTCTGCTCTTTAGTTATGGCATTTTGGATTTATGGATGTTACCCTCCAGCCATGGAATAGTAAGGACATGCACCAGTGCTAAAGACACTCTATATTAACATATTGTAGGAACTTTCAAACTGACCTTTCAAGTCAAACTCCTTAACTAATTAAAAAGATTGTTAGGCTTTAAAGCAATGGGAATGATGGAACAGCCACTGTCTTACAGTGAGGGAGAAAGTGTTCAGATGCAATTGTCAGAAGCTAAAAAAATTTAAATAAGCTTCAAATAGAATTTAACAATTTGATCATGTCTAAAACTAGAGAGAAGTTTGTGTTGGCTTGTAATAGCTTTATAGATACCAAATTGTACTTTAATTCCAGGGAGCTTCAAATTTTAGTTTGGTTTGCCATTACTTTTTAAAATGTAAAGATTTAAATTAGAAATATATCACAGCAGCTCACAAATTATTCTATATAAAAATATTAAGTACAGTTTCTTGATTATCAGTGCATAAAGCCCTGCTTACTTTAGGTGTGGAAAGCAAGACACTGAATAACTTCTTTAGAGCTTGATACACTACCTATCATATTGTTCAAAGCATTATCTACAACAAGTGATCCTACCTTGTCTAAAATTGTGTCAAAAACTTAGCCTAGCTCACAATTTATTGGAGACATAGGTTTGAAAAAAAAATAGCAGGGAGAAGTAATATATTTCAGTAAAAATCTCTAAATCTGGCAGTGGTAACATTATCCTGGGTTTTCAACATAATGACTCCAGACAACCCCTTTCATGTCTCATTTTCCTACTCAGGAGAACAAACTGTAGAATAATTTATTCAAATATGATTTGGAAAATTGGTTTGCTTTTCTATGAAATGTGTTGCAAATACAGCAGAGAAAGTGCAGCATAAATATGTGGGCAGTTAATCTTTCTACAAATCCATAATAAAGGCAGATAAAATGAAATAATTAACATTTCTTAAAAGGTTAAGTTTAAGACAAAAAAAGCCTAAATCCTAATCTTAACTAGAGAGATGCATGATTAACTGGACAGCACATTGTTGAAAGATAGACAGGATGCCTGCTCCCTACTAAAACATGAAAGGATATCGAAGTGAGGAAGAACAGACCCTGAGAATATCTGTCTACCAATACAGTGGACCCTCGACTTACAGACGGCTCCACTTATAGACTTTTCAAGTTACAGACTTCTCTGGCCGTAAAATGTAGGTTCAACTTGCAGCCGGAGAATCGACCTACAGACCGGAAAAAACCCAAAATGGAACAAAAACAGCTGGTTACGGATTAATCGGTTTTCAATGTATTGTAGGTCAATGGAGCCTCAACCTATAGACTTTTCGACCTGCAGCCACCATTCCAATATGGATTAATTCCGTAAGTCAACGGTCCACTGTAAGTGTGGGAGGAAGTTGAGGTTAGAGAGACAAAAGGAAACACTAGTCTTTGTTGATGTTTATTTCCAAACCCCATTCTAGTAATCTGGACTGGGGAGGTGTTGACAGACAATGCTTGAAGGACACCAGGTGAACAAAATTGATGTTTCAAAAGAGCTTGTTTGTTAGCTAATCTTGCCAGCTTGCCTTTCTATGAAATCAGTGTTTTGTAGTAGTAGTAAATGTTGGGATGGACCACACATCTAATAGTCATTTTTGTTTAGCTCCCTCTCTCCCATATCAGTTATTTTCACCACCACTGGGATTGTGACTGCCTGCAGTGATCTGGTGTGGGGTTTAGGGTGAAAGCCAACAAGCAGATTGATAACCCCGCACCACGCAACAATCATTAGAAAACTTCTGCCCTAAAGTTGGGCACCTGAATGTTCGGACAATGACCCCTGGCTTTTCTGATGACCTGCAGGAAATAGACGTGCACAAGACTGCTGTCATTGACATGGAACTGAATAGGCTGCAGATGGACATTATTGCCCTGGGATCTGTGAAAGAAAAAAACTTCTCATTCTTCTGGCAGGGAAAACCATTGAATGAGACCAGGGAATATGGTGTTGGGTTTGCAGTCAGAAATATTCTGCTGAGATCCATTGTTCCACCTGATGTGGAGAGTGAAAGAATCCTGTCTCTGCAACTCCACTCATCAGTGGGACTGGTCACCCTCATTAGTGCATATGCACCAATACTGTTGTCTACAACAGAAGCCAAGACAAATTCTACGGCGATTTGGCAGCTGCTATCAAAAACAATCCCCGAGATAGAGAAACACTGATCATTCTCAGAAACTTTGACGCTAGAGCTGGTGCTGATCACAATTCCTGGCCCACTTGTCTAGGCCATTTTGGCATTGGGAAGATGAATGAAAATGGCCAACGCTTGCTGGAGTTTTGCTGTTACTGTGGTCTTTGTTCAGCAACACGTTCTTTAACACAAAGCTTAAACACAGAGTTTCCTGGAGACATCCAAGATCCAAGCATTGGTATCAGCTCGACTTGATCCCCACTAGACACTCTAGCCTTCCTAGTATTACCATCACATGGAGTTATCAGGGTGCTGATTGTGATACTGATCCCTCCCTGGTGTCTAGTAGAGTAAAACTGCGAACAAAGAGATTGTATCACATGAAACAGGAAGGAAGACCATGTATTGACATCAGCAAGACTCACGATCAAAGTGGAGAAATTTGCCTAAGCACTTGAGGAAACCCTTCCAGGCCTGGCTGACGCAAATGCACCTAAAACGATGGGACCATTTCAAGAACACCGTTTATAACACCGCCTTGTCCACCTTTGGCAAGAAGACCAAAAGACAGCCGATTGGTTCGAAGCCCATTCGGAGGAGTTGATGCCAGCCATTGAGGAAAAGAGGAGAACTCTAGCAGCATACAAAGCCTGTCCTAGTGAGAACAACGTGCAGGCTCTTCGAGTTGCTTGTAGCAAAGTCCAACCGGCTGCCAGGAGATGATCTAACGATTATTGGCTTCAGCTCTGCTCTCCGATACCGATAGCAGTGAACACAGGTAACATCAAGGTAATGTATGACAGTATCAAGCAAGCTTTGGGTAGCGATCATCCAGGACCGAGCACAGCAGATGGAACGCTGGGTGCACCACTACTCTGAGCTATATTCCAGAGAGCATGTAGTAACTGAAGAGGCACTAAATAACATAGAGTGCCTGCCTGTCTTGGAACAGTTGGACAGTGAACTAACTTTAGCAGAAACAAAAGCGGCCTTGGATTCCCTCGCCTCTGGCAAGGCACCTGGGAAGGTTAACATCCCTGTTGAAGTGCTGAAGTGCTGTAAAAAGATCATCACCACCGAGCTGTATGAAGTCTTTTGTCTTTGATGGAGGGAAGGTGGAATACCACAAGACATTGTCACGTTGTACAAGAACAAAGGAGACAGGGGTGACTGCAATAACTACTGTGGCATCTCTCTTCTCAGTGTTGTAGGGAAGCTGCTTGCTCGTGTTGTGCTGAAGAAGCTCCAGGTCCTTGCAGACAGAGTCTATCCAGAATCACAAGTGTGGATTTCCAGCTAATAGATCCACCACTGACATGGTATTTTCCCTCAGACAGTTGCAGAAGAAATGCAGGGAACAACAACAGCCATTCTTTGTGGCCTTCATTGATCTTACAAAGGCCTTTGATTTGGTTAGCAGGGATGGCCTTTTTAAAATACTTCCCAAGTCCACCTTGACTCCTTAACATCATCAGGTCATTTCATGAAGAAATGAAAGGCAATGTAGTTTTTGATGGCTCAGCATCAGATCCCTTTGACATCTGAAGCAGAGTGAAACAAGGCTGTGTTCTCACGTCGATCCTGTTTGGGATAATTTTTGTTGTCATGCTGAAGCACGCCTTTGGAACTGCAACAGAAATCTATCTCTGGACTAGATCAGATGGAAAGCTCTTTAATCTCTCTAGATTGAGAGCAAAGATCAAAGTGTAGCTGAAATGTATGTGCGACTTCCTGTTCGCCGATGATGCAGCTGTTGTTGCCCATTCTTCCTCCCATAGCAATTACAAAGAGTAGTTGGAGTGGGGGGGGGAAGGAGAGCTGGGGCTGTTTGAAAAATCATGAGTGTAGGAACGAGAAGAGTAGCTAAATGTGCTAAGAGGGCTATCCTACTGGTCTTTACCAGATTTCCAAATTCCATCAAATTTTGGTATGTTTGTTCCCTTGAAGTAAACCCATAACATGGTTCTCTCATCAATCATGGGAAAACTAAGATTCCCAGAAACAGTTATACTTCTGTCATATACAGCACTCTGCCACTTAATTACTGACTTAAGGTTTTCTAGACTCTTGACTATATTTTTGAAACAATGACTAGAATCCTGTTCGTAGCGTAAGCCCAACTGCAACTTTTCATCCATTCCATCCTGGTAAAGAAAGCACCACTGCGTGCTCCCAAGAATTTCAGTAGGGATTTTTTTTTCCCCAGTGAGGAAGAGATGGAAAATTACAATTTAGTTTACACTGTGAAAAGTATTTCAGCTTATGTAAGTAACTAACACAAGTAATTAGCAGAATGTAAACAAGCCATATGTAACTTACCTTGCTCTTCATAAACAAGGCCCATATTTGAATGTGCTTCAGCTTCTTTCTTCCCACCATCAATTTTAACTAGTTGAGCGGTTTTGTAGCACTGTTCATAGAAGTAATTCCTTAACCATTTATCTTCAGGCTTGTTGAAGCAATAGGCCAAATTCAGTTGGTTAGAATATACCTCTTCATAGAATTCTTCAATGAAAAGAAATTGATTAGAGGTAATAAAATATATTTTATTGTGTTTAGTTATAACTTTCATAATATAAAAACACAGGTCAAATACATGTTTTGGGGGTACTATTTATATATACATAAGCAATCTAATTATACACACCAATGTATACACAAACATATACATGTAAATATTTACTGACACAGCACAGACTCATGGACCTAGGCAGATTCTATTTAATTTAGGCATCAGCAATACTGGAGAGCTGGGGGAGGGGGGATTTTGTTTACCTATTTGACTCATTCATTTTGATAAAAATGCTTATTCTTCTATTTTTAAAATATAACAAGGCACACATGGTCTGTGTACCTTTGTTTAAAGAAGGATCATATTTCCTGGAACATGATTATTCACATTTTAACACAATATGGGGAGGAGGATGTCTGGAAGGCCAATGGAGGCATATTGTCCAACTGGATCTGTCCTACCATGAACATTCATATTCAACATCCTTCCTGCTCACATCTCATTCTTTTGCATCATTCACACAGCAAGTTGTAACAAGCATGCATCAGTGACAGTGCTGACTCCCCGTTCTCTGCATCTTCTTCACCAATAACTGCATTTAGTACTGCATTTAGTGTGGGAGCAAGCAAAAGAGTCAGCAGAAATTTGTTCAAACATTACTACTTGTACTCCCCCATTTCCATTTATGTTAAGCGACAAAGCATCACATGCAGCAGAGCTAATGAGGACCAGTTCTGACATAATTACTGTACATCATCATCATCATCTTAGAACTGCAGAGCTAGAAGTGACCCTGTGCACCATAGAGTCCAGCCTCTGTCAGGAGGGGCACAGTGGGAAATTGAACTCCCAACCTCTGGCTCCACAGTTAGATACCTAACCCAACACGTAACTTTAAGGTATGCATACAGATGTTTATAAGAATACAGCCATATGTTAAGGCTGGATCAGATGAATTGCATTTCTCCATTTAAACCAGAAAATAGTTGGGTGGATTCTTTAGGATGCACTCAAAAAACAACTCTATAGCTTGATCTGAAACTTTACTGCATGGAAAGGTGAGTTTGGGGATGGTCCATGATGATATTTTAAATGTCAGAAATGACCATCAGCAGTATTGCCTGACAGCAGTCCATAGACATTTTATTGGCCAATCTTGCCACTCATGCAGCATATGTCAAGAAATAGTTTGTTGTATCAGGTAAGATTAAATGCGCTTTATCCTGCCAATAGTGTAAAGTACTTGTAGTTTTTACTAAAAAATAATTTAATTCATCCTATTTTGTCTAATGAAGCTCAGCAGAAAGTTCTCTGAGAGTAAACTCAGTAGCATTCTCTAAATGTATAGAATGTGAAGGGTTGTGGCTGTTTAACCAAAAAGGGGATAGCATGCAGGACATTTTAGCTGGAATCTTGTTAATCAAGGTGTAACATAACATTAGATCATTGTAAAGTTTCCGGAGGTTCTGCCCTGGCAGCAGGAACTGCAGAAGGTGATTCTGCAATCAGTTGCATTGTTCTTGTTTTGACCAATATTGTTATACGCCCATGTAGCTACCCTGTTTCCCTGAAAATAAGACCTAACCTGAAAATAAGCCCTAGTATGATTTTTCAGGATGCTCATAATATAAGCCCCACCCCCAAAATAAGTCCCAGTTAAGGGAAACCCTGCCCTCCACCATTGTGCAGCAACCAGAAGAAGATGACATGGCTATATTTGAATAAATGTAGAATGTTGTACATGAAAAAATTAAAAATCCCCTGAAAATAAGCCCTAATGTGTTTTTTGGAGCAAAAAATAATATAAGACCCTGTTTTATTTTCAGGGAAATAGGGTACTGAACAGGATTCCAGCTAGAGTCTGTCAAATGCCATGTGGCAGATACCATGAAAGGAAGATTATATATATATATTTTGAGGGGTGAGATATGCAGTTTTATCTATGCTGTAGTTACACTGCACACTGAGTATAGCATGGTATTGTGCGCAGAGTGCCAGCCTAAGGCTCAGGAGTTCAAATTCCTGCTTGGCTATAGAAATGCACTGGAGAGCAGAAATAGTAAACCACTCCTTGCACATACGACATATTTCAAAGACTCATCAGAGTTGCCAAAAGTTCGAAGCAGCATGGCATCCCATAATAACTACTGCAGGGGTGAGGAACCTTTTTCAGCCTAAGAAACAAACTGGATGTGGGCATGCTCAATGGGTGCTGAATGGCAGAAGAAGGCAAGGCTTCAAACTGCAGACTAACATCTGATGTCCAGCATCAGAAGATAACAGCTACTCTGATAATTTATTGTTAACAATACTCTGTTGGACCAGCTGTTCCCCACTTGGTTGCATCTTTCCCTTGGCATAGAGGATTCAATTCTCACATGATCTTCTAGCAGTCTTCTTTAACTTGAAGAATGGACTGGCAATAGATTGGTCATTTTTGCCTTCACAGAGGTCATCTCTTCAGCTTGGCTGTTTGGAAGAGGAAGCCCTGGGTTTATTTCTCTAAAAGTGTTTTGAGAACTCTAAAAAGATGGCATGCTCATGTTGTCTTCCTGAGCTGCGTTGCACGAGTCAAAGCCAACAGCAAATGTGGTTGTGGCCTTTTTTTTTCAAATGTACAGACATCCTGATAGTAAGATATAAGATCCAATGGTGTCTCCACACTTCAGAAAGAATTAAGACACATGTATTGAAGCATAATTTTTAAATATTATATGTGTTCCATTCAAATTTGTATGACCAATTCTTCAAGTTATTAAGAAGTCTCTCCCATCTACTGCAGCTGTGGGAGTGCCACTAAAGCTATAAACCTGTTAAATAGCATCATAAAGTACATCACATGTAAACAGATAAAGGAAAAGAAATAAAATAATGAACAATTGCTATCTGGAAGAAAAATAACACCTACAGATAGAATAGATTTAACCTCTCTTTGCTACAGAATATCAAAGGGTAGAATTCAGTAAAATTATGCAAATAAGGGGAGGTAAGTACTCTACAATTCTCTAGAAAGTGAAGTGACCGGAGGCTGACTACTGTTACTGTCACAGTCTTGATTGAATGAGTTTTAATGTGACCCTCAAATGTCTATCCTTTCAGTGAATAAGATTCAAGAGTGTCTAAAGACAATCCTTTCAGTATAATCATGCGGGACACGAACGGCCAAATCTGCCAGAATCGCAGGAATGAAGTAAAACAGTTTGAAGACACTCCTTTTTTAGAGTGTCTCCTTGCATTTTAAGAACCTAGATAACTTTGGAAATAACTCTCAGAAAAACTAAAATGTATAACTTTCACAGATCACTGCCCACAATGTATTTCAAGATGCTTTGGACTCAAAACATTTTTCTCTACCACATTAAGCTCTCGGCATTGGTTAAATGCTGAAATAGATGTTCTCCTGCTCATGCACATGCAGTCATTTCAACTACCCACCATGCAGTCATTTCAACTATCCACCATAATGTTTGACTTTGAAGCAATAAATTTAAAATAAAAAATAAAAAATTAACTAGTTTAAAACCTGAGTAAAAAGCAGAGTTTGGCTTTAGTTCAATTGAAATTGCCCTCATGCTTCTTTGTACAGAAAATCCATATTTTGTACAGACTAAGGTGATGAACACAAAAGACAGAAGACAGAACACACACATACACACACAAATAATATCTTACTTCATATGGTAATCATGACCATCACACTGTTTGGCAATTCCTTCAGAATCTGCTATCTGCTATCTGATTCAGTTGACAGAGGACAATAGAAGTACAAAAACCTGTCTTTCCAGTACAACAGGAAAGACTGAGAAGAAAAAAAAACTGTACAGGACATCAAACTCACTTAAAACAATATCAAAAGTTGTGCAAAGGCATCTTCCTCAAGTATTGCTTCCAGTTAGGTTGCATCCCCAAAAAAGGCAGAAGTGGAGACTATCTCACTCCTGTACAGACACACAGTGTTTCAGCAGTGCGTCTCGGCTTTGCAAATAAAAAATCACAAAGCATGAAATATTGTTTGAATATTCTTGACACTGGTACCTCAAGAATACCATTTACCAGCTTCACCTGATTAATTAGCTACAACATGTCTTGGACAAGAACAGCCTGGCCATGATAACACGTGCAGGCCAGTTTCAGACTCAGACGATGTAGTCCCACCACCATTTTAACTTTGTAAAAACCAGTCCTATGTTTTATGATTGCTAAACACAATGAGTACATGGCTATAAACTCTACTGCAAGGCATGATACTGAGATATTCAGACCGGATAAACATTAACATATGCTAAATGTAATAAGATATAAACTCTTCACTCAGAATCATGCCAGGCTTTTCTTACATCTGCAGTTTTGTATGTTTCCACACTATCTAAATGACCTCCAATCCTCTTATACCTGACTGGACTAGAAAACTACTTTAACCAACTTAAGGAAACTCAGATGTATCTCCTCTAGAGGGAATCTGGTCCCATGCTACATTCAACCTTATACGCAGCCTCATGTTTAAACCTTCTTTTTCACTTGCATACCAGGATAAATCCTTGATTAGATCGCTATCCTTCCAAAATAGCAAATCAAGCTGTTTTTTGCCCAGCACAATACACAGCCGCTTCCTCCTTACTTGTCAAATGCTGTTGATGTATTTTCTGTAGCATTTTCTCAGAATCCTATATAACCTATTAATCTCTATTTTGTGACAGCAAACCCTCACCAGTTACAGTACAAGTTATTTCCACTTAAGTTAATATGCTTAAGCATGTGTGACTTGATGCAGAACTGCAGCTAAAAAGATATTTATTGATATATACTGATATAGTCTTTACCAAGCCATATCAACAGACACAGTCCCTTTTGGAGTACAAATGGAAAACAACTTTATCTAACTTACTTGACCCCGGATTTGTAGGAAAGTGCATAGGAAATAGTACTGTTTTAAAAGCGATCTAAAATTTAGGAAAAATATGCCATAAAACAGTTATATGTCATAAAACAGCTATAAATTAATACAATCCACGTGTAAGGAATAAATAGAAAGTGGTATCTGAAATGTTAGTTATGATGAGTAACAATATCTTAAAAGGATCTTGTTGACATCCTTATATAAACACTAAAGACTCTCGTTTTGTCACTCTGGTGTTTCATTCTAACTTTCAAGTCTCATCATTAATTGATCCATCATTTCCCCCATAGACACAGTTTAGTTGACTAAAGGTAAAAAATTTTCAGTTGCAGTAATTTCTCAAAACCATATATGAAACAATCTAGAATCTTCCCTGAGGCACACGATGTGTTACCCAGAATTCCCCTCTTTACCTGATCGCTGGGCTGCCTCAGCCCTGGTCAGGAAGTAGTGAAGTTGATCCAGTTTATCAGGCTGCTCCCCCAGAGACTTCTCCAGCCATATGGCTGACCCAGGCCCCGAAGCCTCCCTGAAGGCATTCCACTTCTCTATCAGAGAAAAGAGCTCTGCGAAAGACTTGTGATACCCTTGTCGCAGCATGTCTATGCAGATATTCTTCATGTATGAACTCCGGTAACTAGGAAATTAAAAAGCCTGATTTTAATCCTTCAAATGCTCTCCTGCTGAAAAGGATCAAGATACACAACAACAACAATATATACCAAAATAGAAAACTGAATAAGCCGTGACAAGTGTTCTTTTCATGATTTTTTTTTCTTGTTAAATACCACTGAATCTTCAAAAGAGAAGAGGGGGAAAAAACCACAGTAGGTGTTTAATGCCATTTCTACTAGAACTGCGTTATAAATATAACAGGGTTTCGCAATTGAAACCAGCCAGAAAGGTCAATTGAGTTAACCTACACACACAAAAAAGAAAAGAAAAAACCTACCAAAATGTTCTGGCATTTGTTCACTGCAAGATAAGCTCATAGATTTGCTTAAAACAGTGAGCAGTGGGAAAAGCTAAGTATATACAGCATGTCATAACAATGTATATGTTAAATAGTTTTGCTGGAGGTTATGGAGGCTTAGTTTAAAATGCCTGGCACAGTATTTATTTCAATAGGCTCTGTACATACTGTTTGCTTGTGTTCAATAACCGTCTTCAGCTGGGACTAATTTAGTAATACAGAAGTTTCAAAATTTCAACTTAATTTTTAAACCAGGTGACATACACATTTTCCATTATACCTCTATGGATTTCCAAGTTATTCTACTAATAATCATGGATTGGATATATGCATTAAAAGGTTCTATAATTAAATACCATCTAGATGTAGCACATTTGTTAAACCTTAAAGAAATACTGTACTGTAATCCAGACACTCTTTCAAATGGCATGTAGCAGTCTTAGAGCTTACTGAAGGCAGCGCATGAACACAAGGAGGCTTGTTATGATATTGGCAGAGGGAAACAGACAGCTTCAGCTGGTACAATTCCAACAAAACTGAAAATGTTCATGACCAGTAATTCTTCACAACGATTTCATCATGGAAAAAATTATTTGGATAGACCAGATACCAACTATCAAACCAAACGTATTTTTACATTCCACAAAGCAAAAGAAAAAACATTTCTTTTTGTATTACCTCCTGTTATTATTTTTAAGCCAAACCTACAAGATACATGATCAGTTTAGAACAGGGGTTTGGAAACTTTTCAGTGTGAGAGCTACATTATATATTTTACACATTTTCGAGGGCCAAAGGAGGGAAGGGGGGGGCCAAGCAATCCCCCACCTTTGCTGTCTTTGCAAAGACAAGGGGATCGGGCGATTGCTTGGATCCCTCTTCCCTCCTCTTCCTTTGCCTGGGCTGGATAAAAAGGCAAGGTGGACCAGATGTGACTCACAGGCCATAGTTTGGAGATCCTTGGTTTAGAGTACAGTACTACCACAGTCAGAACTTTGTAAAAACCATATATCATCTAACTTCTTTCAAATACTGTAAGTCAGAAGCAGCAAGAGATGGCCACTCCAGCAGCCTACATGAAAAGGAAGTGTTTTGTTAAGAACTGGCTCTCCTCTTGTGTTTTCCAGCAGACATTTCTGGGCTGGGGTTATTTCCTCTGAAAATTGTTCTGATCTACTAAAAACAGAAAAAAGAAAAGAAAACCCAGAATAGCGGTTGAAACATACAGTCATGGCTAAAAATATTGGCACCCTTGCAATTCTGTCAGAAAATGCAACTCTTCTCTCAGAAAATTATTGCAGTTGCAATGTTGTGGTACTCACGTGTTCATTTCTTTGGTTTGTGCTGGAAACAATACAAAAAAAAAAAAAAACAAAAACAAAAACAGAGAAGTCAAGTCTGGTACAATCCCACACAGAAACCCAAAAATGCAGTGGCCAAAATTATTGGCACCCTTCCAAATTGTAAGAAATAACTGCTTGTCAAGCATGTGAAGCTTCTTTAATTTGTATTGAGATACCCCTGTCGCAAGTAAGAGGTGTGGGCAACATAGTAATCACACTTGCAACCAGTTAAAATGGAGAAAAGTTTATTCAACCTTTGTGTTGTATGTGATACTCAGCATGGAGAAAAGAATGAAGTGTAAAGAGTTGTCTATGGATTTGAGAGAAACAATTGTGGAAAAACATCAACAGTCTCGAGGCTACAAGTCAATCTCCAGAGATCTTAATGTTCCTGTGTCCACTATGTGCAATATCATCAAGAGGTTTACAGCCCATGACACTGTAGCTATCCTCTCTGGACCTGGACAGAAGAGCAAAATTACTGAAAAATTACAATGAAGGGTTGTTCGAATGGTGGATACAGAACCCAGATTAACTTCCCAACAAATTCAAACTGATCTGCAGACACAGGGTACAAAAGTGTCGGCTCGCACTGTCTGTTGCTATCTGAATGAAAAGGGACACTATGGTAGGAGACCCAGGAGGACACCACTGCTGACACAAAGGCTTTAAAAAGCAAGACTGGAGTCTGCCAAAACTTATGTGGCAAAACCACAATCCTGAGAGAACGCGCTGTGGACAGATGAGACAAAAGTAGAGCTTTTTGGTCAAGGACGTCATGGCACTGTTTACAGAAAAAGAAATGAGGCATTCAAAGCAAAGAACACAGTTCCTACAGTCATACATGGTAGAGATTGAAAGATGATTTGGGGTTGCTTTGCTGCTTCTGGCACTGGATGACTTGACTGTGTGAATGGTATCATGAAGTAAGGTTACTTACCTGTAACCATACTTCTTCGAGTGGTCCTCTGTGAATGCACACATATGGGTCTTGTCTGCACCTGTGCTGACGATCTCAGAAGATTCTAGAGCTAAAAGTAACAATTTTATGGTGTGATGTCCCATGAGGCACATGCTCCTCCCATCTACCGTTCCCCTCCTAAAATAAATCCGCCGGGCAAAGGTATAGAATTATTAAGGCCTCGTGACGGACAGAGAGGAGGATGGGTAGGTAGCGTGAATTCACAGAGGACCACTCGAAGAACTATGGTTACAGGTAAGTAACCTTCTTTTCTTCATCATGGCCTCTGTGAATGCACACATATGGGTGACTAGCAAGCTTCACTTACCTGCAGGTGGGACGTCACGGTAGAAAGGAAGCTAAGACAGCTCTGCCAAAACCAGCATCAGTGCGCGCTCTGACATCTAGCTGGTAGTGCTTGACAAAGGTCGATGGAATGGACCAAGTTGAAGCACGGCAGATATCTGGAATGTCTGTCTCTCTTTGGAAGGCAAGTGAAGTATAAAGTACTCTGGTTGAATGAGCCTTAAGCTGGTCTGGTGGTGGTTTTCCTGACAGTTGGTAAGCAAGGGATATGGTCTGCACTATCCATCTGGAGATAGATTGTGAAGATGCTGGGCTTCCCTTGTTAGGACCATGGAAACAGATAACTAGCCTGTTGGTGGTCCAGAAATCCTTAGTTCTGTTCAAATAGAATGCTAAGGAACGTCAAACATCGATTTTGTGGAGCATGTGTTCTAGAGAAGATGATGGAGATTTGAAGAAGGAGGGTACAATGATTGGTTGGTTTCTATGGAAGTCAGTTACAATCTTTGGGAGGAAGGAGACATCAAAGTACAGAGCTACTTTGTCAGGATGAAATTGGATGAAGGGAGGGTCCGATCTAAGAGTAGTGAGCTCACTGGCTCTCTTAGCTGAAGTGACAGCTACCAAAATGCTGTCTTCAAGGTAAGTAGTTTCAGGTTGGGTGTGGCCATGGGTTCAAATGGAGGGTGCATTAAGAACGATTGAGGGAGCCTCGTGGCGCAGTGGTTAAACCACTGTACTGCAGCCAAAACTGTGCTCACGACCTGGGGTTCGATCCCAGGTAGCCGGCTCAAGGTTGACTCAGCCTTCTATCCTTCCGAGGTCGGTAAAATGAGTACCCAGGTTGCTGGGGGGGGCAATATGTAGCCTGCATAATTAACTTGTAAACTGCCCAGAGAGTGCTTGAAGCACTATGGGGCGTTATATAAGCAGCATGCTTTGTTTTTGTTTTTTTTTTTGTGCTTTTAATATGTTGATGTGGGAGGCGCGGGTGTTGTTAAGTCCCTTGAGAAACTTTTAAACAGCTGGATGAGAAAAGAGTCTTGCAGAAGTGGAGTCGTCAGGTTGGTGTGCGACGAACGATGCAATGTAAACTCTAAGGTTTGGGAGAGATAAGCCCAAGTTGAAGACATGAAGAAGGTAAGTGAGCAAAGTTTTGATGGAGATAGGTATGGCAGGTAAGTTGTTCTCTTCCGTGTATTTAAGGAAGGATTTCCACTTGTTTTCATAGAGGAGTCTGGTGGATAAATGTCCCCCCCCTTGACATTTTTGTCCATTCGTGTCCGACCCTAGGGGGCGGCGCTCATCCTGCTTTTCAAGCCATAGAGCCAGCACCTGTCCAAAGACAGTTTCCATTGGCACGTGGCTAGCGTGACTAGGGAACGCCGTTTTACCTTCCCACCGAGATGGTACCTATTTATCTACTTTACATGCTTCCAAACTGCTAGGTTGGTGAGGAGCTGGGACAAAGTGATGGGAGCTCACTCTGTTGTGTGGATTCGATCTTACAACTGCTGGTCTTCTGACCCTGCAGCACAGGCTTCTGCGGTTTAGCCCACAGTGCCACCATGTCCCTCTGGTGGATGGCTTTTTTTGTTCGATCTCAAGGCAAAGACATTGATGTCTGGCATTCCCCTGTGGTGGCAGAGGAGGTGGAAGATCTAGGTTTTGAGAGACCACTCATGTGACCTCAATGTGAGACGACTCAGATGGTCTGCTAGGTAGTTCTCCTTTGTAGAGATGTGCACTGCTATTGGAAAAACATGGTGCTGGTAGCACCATTCCCAGAGGTCAACTGCCAGGTGGAGGTGGGAGGAATGGGTGCCACCCTGTTTGTTGAAGTAGAAGAGGCCAGTGGTGTTGTCTGTTGCCAGTTGGATGACACGGCCTTGAATAAGTGGTAGGAAAGCATGGAAGGCTTTTATGATTGCCATGAGTTCCAGGTGATTTATGGGTAATGTCAATTCCCATCTCGTCCAGAGTCCATAAACCCTGTATTGCAGGCAATGAGCATCCCATCCAGAGGGACTGGTGTCCGTAGTGATTTCCACAGT